GGAAAGAGAGCAGCCTCGCTCTAAAGGCCCCTCTCTTCCCTTCCCTCCTGGAAGTCCTCTGCCGGGACAGATGCTGGAGAGGGGAGGAAGCCTGAGCTTTTGCAGTCCCATGTGGGGACATACCGAAAAATAAGGGTTTTAAGAACTATATTGGTTGGAGGAACACATATTTAAAAAAAGCACAGCAGTAAAGATTTGGTTTCCCTTTCCCTAGGGCCCTTGGTTTTCATACTGCTTATTTGAATTTTGGGATTTTAAATGCAGCAACAGAAGTCTGGACACTCAGTTACCTCAACACTATTTCCGGTGGCCCTGGCAGAAGGGGTTAGGCCATAGAAAGCCACCAGCTATCCCCAGGTTTTATTCCTCTAAACCACACAGCACCACGCACATCTTGAGCATGGTTACTTAAGCCCGTTAGTCCCTACAGAGGGATCATCCCCGAGATTGTTATCTTCTTGCATCAATTGCAAAGGCTGCATGGTCAAGCCCTGCTCTGGGATGCCAGCTGAAAGGTACCACTGAAGTCCAAAGCGACCTTTGGGAAGCCGTCAGTGATTCTGTAAGTCTGCCAGGGATTTAGTGCACCTACCGATGAAATCAATGGCCTCCTGGAAGTGCGAGCTGATGTCTGCCGTGTGGCTGTCCTCCACCGGGATCCACTTGTAGCAATACTGGTCTTGAAAGGACTCCGAACTTTTCCTGGAGACGTTGAGCAGGGCTGTGATGTGCAGGTTGGCGAGAAACTCGCACTTGGAAGCGTGGTAGGCACTGCCAAGGTAGAGGAAAGGCAGGATTTCCACCGGACCACCCTGGAAGAGGAGCAGGAAGGCATAACTCAGACACCTTGTTCTTTTTAAGAGCGGCGTTTGCCATCAAGTGCTAGGATCAAACAGGGAAGCGCAAAGGGGCCTGCGTGGGTGCCTGCTCCCTGTGGGACGCTTTTAGCTCCTGGTCTTACTGGCTGGTGAATCACTGTCAGGGCAAAGCCCACACAGGAAAAAGCTTTTCATTTGCTTGTCCACATCTGTGAGGTACGCAGTCGGAGCCGGCCCACTCGTGTACGGGACACGTTGGGCTTTCTGTAGGGTGCTGCCGCTCAGGGTGCGCCCCGAGCGCTCGCACACATGGGCTTCGTCCCCCAGGGGCTTCACGGAGACATGCGCGAGGTGGGAGCAGATGCTCAGCATGTGGGACCGGGCGGGTGGGCAAGAAGGCGGCTGCAACGCCCCGCACGGGGCTCAGCCCCCTCCACCTCCCGAGGCAGAAGCCAAGCACCCCGTTCATAAGGGCCCCTCCGAGCCCCCCAGCGGGCTGGGGGGCACCTGCTCTCTGCCGTGGCACTGAGCCCTCCCCAGCACCGGCGCCCGCGTGGGGCGAGTGACGTGGCTGCGGGGCCGCCCACCGCGCGCAGATGTAATCTCAGTTCCTCCTTTCTCAAAGCAAGGAAAGGCTAGATGACAAGACCGCAAAAAAAGAAAGCGCCGCCGCTGCCGCCCGACATCAGCGTTTCAAACCCGGCAGGTAACTTTCCATGATGCACACGAGCGCTGCCAGCGGCTCCCCGGGCTTTCGCGGCCCCGACCCGCTCAGCCCGTCCCGCAGCCCGGGGGCTCGCCCCAGCTCCTCGAGCGCCGGAAACGCCACCGCTCGCCCCGGCGGACGGCGCCTCCAGGGTGGGCTGACGTCCCCGGGCACAGGC